AAAATATATAGGGTATTTTAGTCCATATAAATAACTTATGTGATAACTTTAAAAGACCCTTACGGATAGGTCTATAATCTTGCAATGTATATTCCTAAAGTTTTATGTATAATTAAGATCTTATAGACTTAGAATCTGTGGTCTACGCTTCGCTACCCATTCCTCTTATGGCTGTGGTGTAGGAGTAGGATCACTTATTCGAAGGTCTATTTAATCTTCAATTATATACAAACTTGTATACATTGTACAATTATAGGAGGACCCCGTAAGGATCATCCCATAAACTTACCTTAAAGCTCATAGATTCTTTAGTCACTTTCATTCTCGCACCACAAGCCCAGATAAATGTAACCACTTTCTCATAGTAGGAAAAGAAGAGTCCAAAGGAACAAGGAACAAGTTCATGAGAAGTTTTCAAAGAGGGATCAGCCGAAGTAACCAAAACGTCTTACTCGTCACACTAATAAATAATAATCTTGTTAAATGAGCGAGTGGAAACACTGCTCACATTATATGTTAAGATTATTTTCTTACATGCAGCTGCTAACAGTTATGCAGGAAACATATATTCATTCGAGGATAGTTATTTCAAATTCATAGAGTTTATTAGGTATAGACTCTTTTATGAATTTTTCCTAGAACCCTGTGGAAGTCAGGACCAATTACACTCAGGACCAGAGTTAAACTTAGTCTAAATACCACTTGTACCCTGCCTACTTCTACCCACCACCACGGCCATCTCTCAGTAGTGTTGTCTAAAATGGGAGATGGTCCAACAGAGCGTGAAAACTAATTAGTACATTTGAGATGTGGAATACTACTAGCGATGAGCATCATTTCTCACGAGATCATTTTTTCGCCATAAAAACATAATCATGTCAGCACCAGGAAGAAACAACCAAAGGCGAGCACCAACTCTGCAGATAGGACCACTGCTACTTCCAGGCTGCGGTCACCAGCTGCTGTGGCAGCCTCCTGGCATCCAGCTCAATGCTACTCACAATATCAATCAAGGGAACCCGTTAGTGTCTGGCGACAAGGATGCCCCCGATCACGAACCAAAAATCAAGAAGCGAAAGTTCTGGGCCAAAAAGGGGAAAAAGTCGTCTCAAGGTCCTACCAAGAAACGACAGTCCGTGGCCACCCCTACGGTCACATCAGCAGTCACAACATCTGGTACTTCAGCTACCACTAAAACCCCTGGCAGGCAATATGCTGGAATTCTCCCAAAGTGTGACAGATGCTCTTACCACCACCACCAAATTTGCCGAGAGATGCAATGTGCCAATTGCAGCAGGAAAAGGGCACACTGCCGCTTCTGCAGGGATCCGACCGGCCAATCCTCAAGTGAATTGGACTTGTCTCAAGTGCGGCAAATCGGGACCGTTACGAGAAACGTCCAATGGGGAGGGAAGACACAGAAGCTCGTTTCTGTGAAGCCCCAACTCAGCACATCACTTCCACCACCGATACGGGTATAGTTCAGGTATGCCATGCCTGTGGTGTAATGGGTCATGCCAAGAGAAACTGCCCAACAGAGAGAGGCGGCGGAGGAGGAGGAAACTAACAAAGAGACTTAAAGGAGCATCAAGGAATCCCGCTTTTGAGATTTTGGTACGTCTTCGAAATAGTAATTACTTTTAAAAATAATTTATATATTGTTATAAGATTAAAATTTGGGGATAACACCTAAAAGTAATTATAATAACTTACATATTGAAATTGGTCACAATATTCAAGAGAACTAAAAGATCCATTTAGAGAAGCTATTATGGCTTACCATATACATCAGGGTTGTGCATAACTAAGATGTTGCAGACTTAGAGTGAGTGACTCCGCTTAGGTCCCCATTCCTTAGTTGGTTGAGGATTTTAGGCAGAGTTACTCAGTCGACTGGCTGATTCATCTTAAATATTCATAACTTGTATATGGCAGGCGATTGTAGTGGTACCAAGGAGGATCATGATATAAAGTATCCCCACCAGTTATTAGAGCACTTTCGTTTGTATGTATGCGCACATAGCGGTACGATACGTAGGAGTGTTAACATCAAAGAGAAATCAGGAAACACGGGAACATTTACAAAGAGTACATTTTCGATCATACTAGGAGTACATTGCCGAACATACTAGGAGTACAGTATCGATCATACAAGGGATACAACGTCGTATAGCAGACGTTTCTTTCATTTGACCAATTCTTTGTTCAGTAAAGAGTCCGGTACTTCATTCGTCATGAGTTGGCGTGGTCCTCACCATACTGAGTTCATATGTTTCTATCGCCTTAATCGGCAGGTTCTCGAAACTTTCGTCATTCGTATCGAAAGTCCGATCTAAACCTAAATTTTATCTTTCGTATTCTAAACCCCGAAGTACTCATGCGAAGAGTACTTTGTCCTCCTAAGCCTTATCGTCAGATGTTCGCAGGCCATCAAGAAATACCACTCGTCCAATAGACCAAGTTCGAGCACAGAGGCTATGGACGAATACAGCCCACCTATCACTATTCAGTGTATACGCGAGGGTGGTATATGATTATGATTATGCAGATTTAGTATGTGTGTTTCCGCCCTATCTCCTGTTCCTTGTTTGGTTGTGGACCTGGGGCAGAGTCGCACATCCGAACGTCTTACTAATCCTAATCATATACGACTTGTATGCACGAGGTAATGATAGATGGACCAAGTACGAATCCTATCAGGAACACCAGGGCAAAGTTGCCAGGTCTACGAGTAGGTATTCTGCCAATCCGAGGAGCGCAACCCCAGCAGTACGGCTAAGAAAGCTAATTTCGGGACGAAATTCCATCTAACGGGGGGATGATGTGACAACGGAAATTTTTTGGTTTTAAGACCCAGTCATTCAACTCAACTGAGTGTCAAACTCATTAGTACTGAGTTCTAGCCCGGTTATAGGTCATTCTAAGGAGTTTTGAGCCTAATACACTTAAGGAATAAGTGTTAGAAAGTACCTGCTAGAACCACAGTGTAGCAAATCAAACCATAACCTCATCAAAATGAGTTCACGGCCACAAGACCATGAGTTTACGGCCGTAAACTCATGTGGCCGTAAACTCAAGTGTATATAGATGATACTTGGCCATTTTTCTCATTCTTTCCTTCCTTGGACGATTTTCCTTCAAATCCTCTCAAGTATCATCAAGACTTTCTTCCAAGATCTTCATATAAGTAAGTGTTCTTCCTAGATTTTTTGATACATCTCTTAATCTAGTCTCCTTCCATCATTTCATCCATAGAAATCATTCTTTTCTTAGATCTTCAAGTTTCACCAAGAACACCAAGAACACACACTAGTGTTCTTGGCCAAAATCGACCATTTCAAGCTTCTAGATCGTAAGCACTCTTCCCTATACTTATTATCTAGTTAGTATCCATGCTTAGAGACTTGAAAACATCAAGAACACAAGGACAAAAGGAGTTTATGGCCAAGCCATCTCCCAAGTCCGTAAACCCCTTTTAAGGTTGCCATTTTGACAATAAACCCTCCTAGTGACCCAGGACCCTTCATGGATGAGATTAGGACCTTAAACTACTCTCAAGTGCACAATGACCATGAGTTTATGGCCGTAAACTCCTTTGGGCCGTAAACTCATCAAAAGCCTTTAATGGGTTGGTCTTTTTCATACTTGTGTAGAGAAAAAGTCCCTAAAGTTTCCCTAGCTTTCAAACCAACACATATGCATGTTTGACCATGAGTTTACGGCCGTAAACTCCCTTGGGCCGTAAACCCATGGTAGTAAACTCATGTTAGTGCCATTTCACTTTCCTTTGATGAATCACATGTGATTCCAACACTTGTTCAAAGTGTTTCCTAGTCCCAGAAGGTGTTTCCTTTCATATAGTTGTTTATAAACACTATATTCATGTCAATATGTGTCCTTATATGTCATTTAGGACTTATTGTGTCTCGGGACTTCATTCGTGGAACTTCTCATCCTTACACGCATACCCGTTTGAATCACCCACATCAGGTGAGTTCATACCCCGTAATGAATCTTTTAACTGTTTTAACTGTTTTAAGGGGGGGAATAGAAGTTGAACACAATGATAATTGTGTAAATGTTTGTTATAAACATCTTTCAAAATGTTACTTATGTCATTTATAAGTTGTCAAAACATTTCAAAAACTCTTTTAAAGTTATGTTGCTTTATAGTTATACAAAACTCCGTTTTTAAAGTAGAAACATAACTTAGTAGATAAACGAGTCTTTTCAATAACAGTCCAAGTAGAACATTAGTAAACTATAATATGTATAGTTTAGGAATGCTATTCATTTCTTCTAGTACAATGAAGCATACAAAGAGTCAGTTCTTACATGAGTCAAACATACAGTGAAGAGAAACAAACAATACCATATAGAGAGAACAACACATTATGAGAAAACAAACAGAACGTACAATATACAGTACAAAACAAACAAGTTAGCTTGCTATAGCATGAGAACACACAGGATCTAATTATACCAATTGATCACTAACTCATTGTTTTAAACAAAAGGTGATAGTTATATTGGGTATACATGATCATATAACTTTAATGTGAATTACACGGCTTGCAAGAATTTGCTGAGGTCGCGTTTGGTTCCCTTAATCTCTTGACAGGGAGAGCGTTTAGTAGGGGTTCTAGCCTTCACATTATGACCGTAATTAAACGAACATGTTTTTAGGTTATCAGTACATCCGCAGGTCATTATAAACGACAACTATGTACTTACATTTCCCATTACTTTCATAAAGTGACAGTACCACTTGAAAGACAAACTCAAACTATTTTCGAGTTAAGATAGTTATAAACTAGGGAAAACATACATTTTTACCAAACGACAAACGGAACAGTCGAGTCTAGCACATAACAGTAGATGCCTTGGTAGAAGGCTACGTTTAACAGAAGATGCCTTGGTAGAAGGCTACGTTTAAAAGAAAGGACCATAATGCTAGTCTTATGATTCCGTAATGTATACATCACATGATATATATATATATAACAACATTCCACAAACACATAACATTTCTACCGAATTGAACAACATGACCATGAGTGGCGAATCTGGAACTTCCAAAATTGCAAACAAGGGTAAAACGGGTAAAACTGCATCTCGCTCACAGTATAAACCTGAGAAGTGGATGCTACTTGATGAAGGAGAAGATCGTCTGAGTCAGCTAAATCTTGCTATTGTAAGTGTTAACACATTATTTAAAAAAAAAAAAAATAATTTGTCATTGTGAATTATGATGCTAAGTTGCTAACAACTTTGTATTTGACATTTGTAGGTTGGGCATGTGGATTCTGGAAAGTCAACACTTTCAGGAAGGCTGCTACACCTTTTGGGACAAATATCTCAGAAACAAATGCATAAATTTGAAAAGGAAGCTAAGTTACAGGTATGAAAGTAGAATGTTACTAAAATACACAAATAACTGAAATTATGTTGTGCTAATTCTGTGTTAAAAAAAATCAGGGGAAAGGTTCGTTTGCTTATTACATATTAATTTTTTCCCTAATCATCTAACTTTAGTCTGAGTGGCACGTGTTTGGGGTTAGAAACCCTAATTAGGGTTTAGAAAACCCTAGTTTTGGAGTTTGTCGGGACCCGCGTTAAAACCGATAATTGAACTTTAAATTGTTGGGTTTTGAGCATTGTAACACTTCCTAAGTGTACATGCAACCCTATTAAACCTTAGATCTATGTTTGTCTAAGATACATGCAAAATATTAATTTCCAAGGTTTATAACCTATCTAGCATGGCATGGGGTACTTTTAAACATAAAAGAACTAGATGAGTTACATACCTTTTGTTGATTGTTGATTCCTTGGAGTTTGAGAGCCAAGCACCAATAATGTGAATGCCTCAAATGGAAATCACAAATCACCACAAACTTGGAAAATGTATGAGAGAGTATAATAACTCTTGATTTTGGCCACCACACTTACACACACACATTAGGTCTTTTTCATGCAACATAAGCTTGTTTATATAGTGTGCATGGTTAGGGTGAAACCCTAATAACCCATGTCTTTTCCTCTTCCAAGGATCCATGGGTTAAAAGCTCCATGGATCATCCATGGACTTCCATATAAGCTTAGCCCATTAACAAATGAGTATTAGCCCACACCATATAAATATAATAGCCCATGATTTAATTAGTCTTCCTTTTAATCACTAAATTAATTCATAATTAATTCAAGATTAAAACTAATTAAATAACATGACTTTATATTAATATATTATAACTTATAATATATTAATAAATCGTAAGTATACAATTCTCATAAAATTATCCATAAACAGTTTGGGTGAAGTGCAACCCAAATGGACCATGCCGGGTCGGGTCAAGTATATACCAAATAAGTTATGGACTTAGACACCTTATCCAACAGTCTCCCACTTGGATAAGTCTAATAACTGTATTTGCGTATGTTACTTCAGGAACCAACCGGCAATCGTAGCTCTCGAAAACTCTGTTGAACTATGAAGCGCCATTTTAGATAAGTGATCATATAATCCTCTGTTCTCATGATATCAGCCGGACAAATACATGGAACAACGTCGTACTTATTGTCCAGCAGTTGTTTCTCGATTTCCGATTTGTTTGACAAAGAACTAAATTGAACACATCAATTAGGTTCTGACCGGGCCCGGTACATAGGTCAAAACAAAATCATCGAGGGGCCCAGATATCGCTTCTAATCCTCCAAGGACTAGAAGGAACAGATAAACTTCGACTCATATACTTGTTTCTACTACTTGTTGAATTATACACAAAGGCACGTTTTATAACATCAAGTTACTGATGCGTTTACGTGCAATCAATGCACAACCAACTCATAGGTAACAACTCATATCTCTAGGTTTGAAGACTTATATGATATTACCGTCTCACGATCACTCGAGATAAATTCCATGAAGTGATACAAGTGAGCGTGGGTTAATTCCAATACTCATAACTTATGAGTACTCATGAATGTTGTAGCAACCATTGCTATGTCTAAACACGTTTAGCCATCTACAAACTCGATTCATGACAGTCTTAATTCATACCTACTTCCAACATATGAACGACTGTGGAGTGTTTAAATAACTTAGTCATTCGGAAAGAATAACCTAGCTATTCTGGAAGTCAAAACATGCAAAGTGAAACACAATAATAATCGAATCCAATATGGTCTCAGAACCCTTTTGAATATAAATAAAACCACCTTTTATTTATCACCATATTGATTACACATTATTCATTGTATAATGTTTCAAATAATCAACTTAATACTTGAACAAAAACAACAGTCGTCCCATGCTCCTAGCATGTACACTTTGTTTTTCTAAACAATAGTTATGCCATACTCCAAGTATGCACACTATGTTTGTCTATGATCTTTACTTTGTGAAATAGATCAATTGAACATGATTCCAATGATGCTCATTTCACAATCCCAAATCCTTATTGTAAATGTAAGAATTCCTAATTCCTACCATTTACCAAAAAAAAACTGTTAGATTTTAAACTTATATGCACTGATCCTCTCGTAATGATTATGCACAAGGTCACCAAAACCTTGTCATCAGTCATTACAGAGGATTCCAAAGGAGATCAACTCTATGGAAACGAACTCTCATATTCAAAGTACATTGCTTTGAACATCCTTCTTGCATAAAAGTTTCTAACTTTCTCATAGATTCTTAATATCCAACTCCCAATATGGAAAATTTCCATATTCCTATTTTGATTATCATATCTGAACAAGAGCTACCTCTTTTCAGAATATATCCATATGGTCCTTCCAAAATTTAACACTATACTTCCAACTGTCCCTGAGCAACCAATCTTTGGTGAGCCTTAGATAGTCCTCGACAATTGCTTAATCATTTTAGTCTTATCCAATTCTAGACTTTTCCCTTCTTAATGCTCTGAGCATTTGGAAAATTTAGAAAGGATGAATATTATAGCACATGTGACCGATCCTATACCCGAAGCATATGGGACACGATTCACGATGTCTCACATAAAGACCTGATACTGGATCAGTCTTTTGCTACAATATTTTTTTATTTTCCATGTTTTCAAAAATCGACTATGAAGAGGGATGTCGTGATCATAATCGAATTTGAGAACGCAATATATATAGAATTTCCTTATGTTGAACCATTCCAACATAAAATTCATATATATATCCTTGACTAAAGATGATTAAAACTCAATCTAAGCTTTTAGAATTGAAATGAAGTATAATTTCCTCTCCCTTAATTATAGCAAAACAACTTTTTCAACCCCTACAACTTTACGAATTGAAACTTTTGTTTTTCTATAATTAACATTGCTAACTTGCAACACTAAACATAATAATCATGCTCCCACTAACATGATGATTATCAGCATAACACTTATGCTCCCACTAGCTCTGACATATTTCCAGAAATCAGCTGGACTTCTGAAATTTAGATTCGTACACCCTTTCTTAGATAGCTCACATGTGTGTCTAAACAATTTCCAGAACTATGAAAAGGGATGCCGTAATCATAGTCTTAATTGTTTAGACCTTTGCCATTTCTCACAAGTCCATGTTAGTGTGCCGGTTAACCACACACGCTCCACTAACGACTTTGAGAATGCAAACATCACAATTGCTATCTACTTAAAATCTTCTTAGTGAAAGCATTTCCTCACCATCATTTTCATGAATCGGAGAGAAACCTTATGACACTTAGATTTTATGGTGTATGAGTTCCTATCCATGTGAATTTGTCAAAACCATAATCACAAGACAAGGTTAGTAACAAATTCAGCCTTACATGGATTGAACTTGTTCAATCTTAATTTCTTGTCATCTGGTAGCACAAGGCCCACCAATGCTTCCAAGCTGTTATGCACACAGTTTAGAACTAACAGAACTCATATGCATAGTCAACTTAATAGGAACAGACACAGAAACAAGAATTATGTCAACTTAATAGGTTTCAAACCTTAAGTCGTGTGCTAGTGATAAAACTCAGGTTTTACTCTTGATTAAATCTTGAAATCCTTTCAGGATCTTTAAGACTCCCACTGTCCTCTTGACATATAAGTTTCCCTAGTCAAGAACCATTCCTTGACAAAACAAATATTCAAGGGATAGTGCAGATTCTTATCAAGATAAACACTTCACACAATTGGTCTTAGTTGGTCTTTGTCTTATCCAAGACATCACAACTTACCAATTTCAAATGTACAGGAGTAGAAAACATTTTACACTACATTTGATAAGTGTTTTAAACCTTACTTTATGTCACTCAATGTTATAATCTTGGAGTATGACTCTAAGAGTTGTTTGGGAACGAAGTATGACCCATTTCTTGATTTTAACCATTCCAACAATTCATGACCCCTCATCTTAGTCATAACAATGCACTAAGATTTCCTTAGAGTATGAATTTGTGATATGGTTTCATAATCATTAAGATGATCATAAAAACATGATACTAAAGTACTCTCCCATCTTTTCAGATTTGAGAAACTTTTATCTTTCTGCCAAATTTGATTCTTCTCATCCGTTCTGCCATACATTGAAACTTTTCCAATGTTACAGAATTATACTTAACCTTATAAGTATAACCATATTTACTAATCTTTAGTAAATCATGACGAATTGATCTTTGTGGTGGACCTTGACCAGCACACACCCAGTGTACCTAATTCCTTAGTCCTTCAATTGACTCACATATGCATGTGATCAATGAATTAGTCTCAATTTTACAAAGATGAAAATTCTCATTCATCATACAATACAACTTGTATGATTCCAAGTTTCTGTCTAACTGAAGCTTGGGTGATGAGAACCTTTCCTCATTTGGTAAATTCAGACACTACCACATATGAGAGAATCAAACTCATATTTCCAATATTGCTAGAAACATACAAACATCAATTTTCCATAAATGCCATTGTAAGGGGATATAATATAAAATAAACTAAACAAAACTTTTATTTCTTTATTAAAATGCGGAAAAATATTCCTTACAATGCAACTTTAAATGAAAACTATGCTATTACATATTTCTTAGCAATCTATCATAACTTTTAAGTAGTGGCTCAAAAATCCGATCCTCGAACCATGCGATAGAAATCCATCTTCGTGATCAGATTCAACACACTCTTCTTTTAACCTTCCTTTTGCTCGATCCTGCTAAACATCAAGATGCAACCTAGTCACATCATGTAATAAGAATCAACAATTAGGAACTTTAACAAAGTTAGATAGTGGACTTACCTGAAGCCGAGTCAAACATTTTGTCTCTACTTGCTTTCAAATATTTCAGGTATTCAGGGCAGCTTCGCTTCCAATGTCCCTTCTCATGACAATAAAAACATATAGACTCTTTGGGAATGGTACACGAGACAATCACAGACTTAGCCTTTCCCTTTACCTTTTGGTCAACCGGGTTGACCAAGGCCGATCCCCTTCCATTGGGACGAGAAAGCTTTTCTGGACTTCCAATGTTACCATTGTCCATGTCCATGGAAGTTTGAGAAATAGAT